TGTGCCGCGACTACTTAGAAAATCCCACGAAGCGCCTGGGTACGAGGCAGCTCCTGAGCTGCAAGCTGACCTTTGGTGCTATTTTAAAAAGTACGACTCATTGTTGGAAAAGTTGTGGGGCTGATAATCTTGAACAAATGTCCAAGACTGACAATTTTGGGACCACTGGGTTGAAAACGTGAACGAGTAAACCTCTACATCAGTGCTACTTGACGGCAAACTTCTGCAAGCTCATTTGCAAATTTTGCGAGAAGTAAAATTGTTCACCGGTGAAGCTCAATAAGTTCACTTTAAAATAATATTTCCAAATCCTTACTAGGACGAATTTGTTTTTCTTTTTTTGACGTGTTTTGTATCGCTAGCTACATTCACCAAAACTTGTAAAATACACCTGTCAATGTTATTGACTTCGGAAGACAATTCCAGTTTTAGTAGAAACGAGTTCAATTTTCATTGGCTGTTTAAACATTTTAAGAAATGCGATCAAGCGCAACCAATTTGAGGAGTGTTTGATAATCTCATAAGCTTCGCCGGCAGGCGTTTTCCCTTTCTCTTTCCCTCACCCTGGTCTAAGACTTAGTAATAGCCTTCTAGAAACACCATCAACAGAACTTGTGTTCAGTATCACAATTAAATAAGTTAAGGTTGTATAGTCTAACCTCCCTGAAACGACCACACACAAAGCGAAGAGTGGTCGCTTACGGGGGTCCTTACGAGAGTAAAATCACAGGGGGTCTTTTTCGCGGAGTGGTTCGAAAACACCTGCTTCCTAGAGGAGAATTTATTGCGGGCAATTTCTAAGTTATGGTATGTGTAGTTCGACTGTTCTTTTAAGAGAGGGTTTCAGCCGTAGGGTTTTGACTGGTAAACTTTTGTTGTTTTGGATAGGTCGTCGCTTATTTTTATTTTTTTTTTGGATAGGTCGTCGCTTATGGGAAGTGGTCGCTTATTAGGAGAGCCTTTCGCACATAGAGGTTCGAATGTATTTGAAGAGCTCTCTGTTGATTTTATTTCGAGTAAGATAGAACACCAATAAAATTTGTGGACGGTATTATATGGGGTAGGTTCTCAAGAGTTAAACCGCTGAAGAGTTCTCTGTTGGTCTAACTCAAAGTATTAGGCATCGAGACAGAAAAATGAACAACTCTTACTCAAGTTCAGTATCATAAGAAATAGGTCAAGGTTTATGTCGATGCAGATTATTTCAGCTGTAACAAAAATAACAAAAATCTTTAGACCTTATTCTCGGAGAGATTTTTACTGGTGTCATGAATGACCAATGTAAAATTAGCACCCACAGAAGTTATGTTTACGTGTAGTGTCAAATATTAACAACTAGCTAAAACAGGTTTATGTATTTTAAGAGTTTTTTTTTAAGTACTCGCTGACTTCGTATTTACTAGGAAAGAACATCTTCCAGCGTTTCCAAAGAAAACAACAAAGCTTGCGAGAATTATTTTAGTTGGGGTAAAAGGAAAAAAAAATCAAACAAACAAAACAGAACCAACCACTAGAGAAATTCTAATTTTACATGTCCGAGCCGAGTAGAAGCAGTCATAAATAATGTCTTTGTCTCCTCACGTGCTTTTTATTACCCTAAGAAATGATCTTCAGCTGTCCGCGGCTCATTCTCTCTTGGAATCCTCTTGCTTTCCTGGAAAAGATGGAGAATGCAGCGAATGCAAACTTGAGTGTAGGGTGTAACCACTTTTCCATCGGTATCTTAAACGGCACTACTGTATATCTCTACATTTAGAGAAATGCCGCGGGAAATTGCTTTGCTCACGGAGTTGTGTAACCGGGACTATTTTCTTTTACATTTTTTCATTAAGGCGAGTTTAGTGAGTACGTAGTCAATTCTCCGCAACAGGAACACTCCCTTTTTCCAGTGCCATCCAGCTCTTAAAGTGAGTGTCCTGTGGTTTGTGAAATTTGAGGTAACACTACCGTCTCTATAATGAATCGCGCTGTTATCCAAAACTGTAAGAGGATCCCAGAGGGGTTAACCGTTTGCCGTAAAAGAGCTAAAGAGGTTTAGTCGGTAGGCGTAAACAAATGGAAACTTTTAACCCTTCGTTGAGGGTGGCGATGTCTCACAACGGCGTTTCCAGGGTTCCCTCAGTAGTCTTTTCCCCGGGTACGAGAGGACGCTGGCAACGAGGTTGCTTGTCTCGTGGCTTTTTTCCATCCCGGGAAGAACCGTTGAAAAGGTTTAAAAAATAACTGATTTTTTTGTCAACTCAGTCTGTTTACCGTGAGAGAACGTAACCGAATACCGTAAACGCCACCATCCAAATTGAGACCCTGATGCAAGCTGTGAGGTCAAATCCCTGATTCCCGTGGCCATTGACGACAGTAAATAAAACGGATGTATCTGTAATCTGGGGGGGGGGAGGGGAGGGTACTCCCTTATAATGGTCTATACGGGGATGTACCGCTTGACCGGGTATGGCTTTTGACCTTTCTGTCCTAAACAAGGTATGTAATTTCGTGTGAGTCTATCAAGAAAAGTATAACCTGAACGATTGATTTGATATGTTACGTGAATTTTGTTTGTACTCCAAGTATGCAACAGCAGTGACTATAAGACCTATAACGTGAATTTGGACAATAGCAATTGCCAATAAATGGCTTTAAAACAGTATGGCCTGCATTTTGTTCCTTGTCCTAAACAGGGTAATAAAATTGAGGGTGTTGTCCTACTGCAGGGTGTGTATTTTACAAACATTAACCACAAAGGACTGCAAAGGACCGCAAACGAATATGCCGGAGAACGTAGGATCTATAAAGACCTGATCAGCAAAAATGAAAAGTAGACATATTAAATACTGCAAGCAGAATACTGCAATGCTGATCGTACTACGTGAAAATTAACTCTGCAAGACATGTATGTCTTGCAGAGTTAATTTTCACGTAGTACGATCAGCATTGCAGTATTCTGCTTGCAGAATTTAATTTGGTGTATTTTAGGATTTTTTTTCCTAACCAGGGCCGAGTACCCCCCTTCCCCCTTCCCCCGATCTGTAATTGTCGGCTCATGGCCTGCATAGCAAGTACAACCTCGTCCCAAGGACGCTTTTCCCTGGCTTTGGAGGTGGGGCGCCCACCTCCAAAGCCAGGAAAAATAGACCTAGGGACGAGGTTGTAGCAAGTAGCCTGTTCCAGGCTCCGAAGTAGTCGGGTCCGCTAAAGTGAGAAAGAACATGAAAAAAAATAAAATAAATAAATAAATAAAAACGCCTGCTCCGCTAAGTTTTCGCGTGTCTTTCACTTTTGCGTCTTCCCCACTATCTGAGAACCTGGAACAGCCGGATCATTATATGTTTCTACCTACCTCTCCCCTAAACCAACATTTCGCCCTTAGTGAGAAGTAAGTGTTGATTTTGGTTTAGGGAAGGGATAGGTGGGTAGTTTCCCAGAAACGTATAATGGTCCGAACAGGCTACGTAGCAAGCGGCGGCTGTACAGTACAAAGGCTAGCAAAGCGTTTCCAATCGAGTTATTTGAGCGAAAGTTGGAGAGAGAGAGAGCAAAAAAAAGAGGAATGGGGGGGGGGGGGTGGTGGAGGGGAAAAGAGGAAACGCTTCCCCGTAAACCCCACGATTCTATAAAACACGCCATGATATTTCTCTGTTTCCTCTTTTCTTTCGTTCCTCTCTTTCACGCAATACTCGTCACTCGATAGGAAACGCTCGTTACCCAGGCAACGGGTTTCCACGTATTCCCCGTTGCAATTTCTTGTAGAGTCTTTTCTCTTTTCTCGCCCACGTGTTTTCTCGTCTCGCCCTATTAAATACCTTATTGTAACGGCATTGTTTGCAATCGCGCTGGCTGGAATAGGAAGTAGACGGATTTTAAGAGAAAAGGAGCTCGAGCATTCTCCCCAACCCCCCCCCCCCCACCTCCCGCCCCGCCCCCCGCCTAGGCTCAATCCAATTGTGTGCGAGCTGCTCGTAAGGTCTCTCCTGATTGGTCGCAGAAAACAATGACATGTCATTCTTTCAATAATTGTTTCAGTATTGTTTGGGGTCTAGGGCTAGGCACCATTGGTGACTCCTCTTAGGTACATAAGAATAATCATATATGAAGTACCTACCCGCTCAGTCTCTCATAGCCTTGAGTGTCTCGATGCGCCCGCGGTACTCCCTAACCGACAACTCCTAAACTCCCGGCTGATGACTCATAGAATCCAAATCAGATCTCGTTTAATTTTCAATTCGATTTCGTCATCAGCCCGTGAAGGTACGAGGGAGAGTACAGTGCATGCGTCAAATAAACCCCCGGGTGGGGGAGTACCGCGGGCGCAGGCCGGAGACTGAGCCTAACTAAAGCCTAACCCCCTCCGGGCCATTCTCGTCCCCAGAGCCACTCTCTGGGGACGAGAATGCCTCCGGGCTAACCTCCAGGCAAGTCTTTTATTTCCCGCATGGATTTCTGGGACATTCCCCCTCTGGTGTGCAAGTCGATGCAAGTCTTGGGGATGTAGTTTATACATTTCGGGATAAAACATCAACTTGTTCTTGGCAGCAATCGACAGCAAGGTGAGTTTGCATCCTTTTATTGGAATAACTGCATTGTTTGCGCTTTGGATGGGTAACAATTGATAGCCACCACAAGATTTTACTTTAGCTCACTTCCGCTTTGCGTCGTACATTCTCGAAACGTTATTCCCTCAATCCTGCATTCCATGATCTTTTCAGTTTCTTTATACCCATTGGATGAATTAGCAATTGAGTTGATACAGTTTTAACGATCACTGTCCTCCTTAGGAAAGAACTCGGCCTCTGGAGAAGACTTGCAGACTTTGAAAGACTACGGGCTTGAGAGAGTCAGTAAGCTTAAATTGAGTTGATTCAAATGTAGTTCAAGAAGTCTGGAACGGGTAAGTTGTCTTCTTTTCTTTATTAATTCCGAAGCTATTCATATTATCTGTTCATATTCTTGATTTTCGTCTGCATTAAAAGGCAATCATTTTACTGTTCAAAACATTACAATGGTTTTTCGCGGAATTTGCATGAAATTGATCACCAAATATATGGCCGCCGTGACGTCACTTGCAATGTTTACTAAATCGATCACGCGAACGAAAATTCAGGCTAGGGTATTGCAATTAAATCTCCGCCAAAATTTAACTACTTCCTCTTAAAATTTATTTTAGCATTTGTCAGTTATTGCAGTTGCCATCATTATCAATAAACTTCTCATCAAACTTCAAATGTAAACAATCATTAATTATTGGATGGGGTTGAGCAAAATATCGTGATTTGCCAGTGGCGAGTCGGCTGAGGCAAATAATGATCTGCGAGACATCGATAGCCTGAGGAAAAATCGGAGAAGGGGCGTCTGTGATTCACTGTTGCTAATCTTGTATGGAGGCCACGTGATTGTTCCTGGAATATGTGCAAAATGATTTGATTGGCTGTTACTCGTAGATCACTACATCATGTAAATGAGGGAGTTTGATTGGCTTTAGGGCCTGTCGTCAAAACATAGCAGGCAACCAGAAAATCTTCACATTCAAAGACAACTACATGCATGTAGCTTTTGAGATCCAGGGATTTTGCCAGAGAAAAGAAAAGAAACGGAAATCTTTACTGAAAGGTTCTTTAGCGGTACTAAAAAGCTTTAGGCTTCAAAGAGGTAAAAGAAAAATCGGTTCTAATATAAACGGCATCCGAGATCTGACAAATCCTGTCACAAACACCTTCAGTAACACAAAACCACAGGAAATAATAACTCAATATGCATGAGTTATACCAGCTTCATGACCTCTAACTGCAAGAATCAAAGGCACAAATAGGATTAGTTCAGTCAACACTTATGGTACTCCATACACTACGATGCATAATCTATGTGCTGGAAAGAAATTAGTTCTAAGGAAAATCTCTGTTACTCAAGCTAACACTTAGGTCGTGTTTCACACTATCATGAGCTTATGAGTCGCATCTTACCTGTCAGCACTTTATTTCAAACTAATGACTTTCCATATCCAGTGGGAAGGCTTGCATAAGATCAGGAATCTTTTCCTTCAATAATATGGGCTTGCAAGAACATTTTTCTTGCTCAGTATAGAGTAAACCAATTTTAAAAATCTCTCTCTCTCTCTCTCAGTTGCTCAATGAAAATAAGTTGGTGACATGCAGCAACATTTTGAGAACTGGAATGACATGAAACATGAGCCACAGAATTTTTGGTCAGCGGAAACTATTTTTTATTTTAATTTAAAATTATTCCCATACGCGATTAGCGACGGTGAATCACAGATGCCTCTTCTTTGATTTTTCCTGAGGGGAGGGGGGTCTGTTCACAGGCTAGACAATGACAAATCACGATATTTTGTGATAACTGAGTTCAATAATAATTGATTTATCATTAAATGATCAACGTGTATATCCTCTGAAAGCAAAGCGATCTGCCATTTTTGCACAAGGAGAAAAGCGTGGGTTCTTTTACGCATGAGCAGAATATTATTGCAGCCAAATGCCAAAGCCAAACACAGTTGGACGACATTGTGCATGAGCAGACCATTATTTGTAGGCAGTTATTTGCAGGTCATGTGGAGGGCTTTCGGCCAATGAAAAGAAAGAAAAATTTGCTTCAAATGATAAATTAATGATAATGGCTTAAGTAGTCATTTCCAAATGGCCCATCCCCCCCCGGGACTTGTCAGGAATTTGTCATGTTGTAGGTCCTGGCAGTGGGGAATTTGTCAGAAAACCTCTGCTTGGGGGTGGGTCATTGGTTAATTCTTCTGGAAGTGATTGATATTGCTCCTTTTTAATATTAGCACTTAAAATATGCCTGTTTAGATAGCTATGTATAGATACATAAAGAATATTTTTAATACCATTATATGCTTTAAAAGATACGTGTGGTTTTCCTCCATCCCTCACCACCCTACCTTACAGTATTTTTTGCCTCTGTGTAAGAAATTGGTCCCCAATTCCTGCCATCAAGATCAGTTTGCTCAAATTATAAGGATAAACAATCAATACATCATTTGAAAAATTTAAAGGAAAAAACATTTTTAAAAAAACTCTGCGAGATAATAGAAAGCTAATATATGCTTTGACAGAACGGTTCCATCATGATGAGAAAATGTTAAGCTAGTCAGTTGTTTGTTTATCATTCACTTTTTTAAATACCTTTGGAAATATAAAAGGTGTTATTAAAATCTAGTTAATATAGATCTGTCATTTATGTTAATTAAAATGATGTGATCTGGCCATGCTTGGAACTGACTGAGCCATAGAAAATAGTAGCTGATACATGCATTACATGTTCAGTGTATTTCAATGCAGCTAGAACTTATAGGCAGTTGGCCCATACAGTGATGCCTTAATAATTGGCATTTTTCTTTGTGGATGAGATATATAATGCTTTCAATTCTTCTCTATTTTTTGACAGTATTATTGAATATTCCTAAGGTAGGTTGAAAACCAAATGAAAATTGGGCCTAATAAATAATCATCCAATCAATGTTGATAATGTGATGCTTCAGTTGTACATAATGAGGCCCTCTTAGGGGTGGGGTGGAGGAGGGGGTATGTATGTCCCTGGCCTGAATTTCAAACAGGGTCATTTCATGTTTTGAGGAGTAGGCCATGTCACTGTTGTTACACCGTATTTAAGTAATCTTAAATTATGTCGTTTGTTGCCATTTCATCAATGAAGTCTTATGTCACTGGTTCAAGGCCATGTCGCTTGTCAGAGTTATTTGCCCTAACAAGGCCTCATACATGTGTTATAGAGAACTAAGGATTATACTTGCATTTCCGGTACTTATTTTGTAGTGACCTAGTTCTTTTAATCACCAATGAGCACAATTTTTTGCATCATATATTAGAAACAACACAATTATTGTTATTATGTTATAAGATTGCTAATACACTTAGGTGGTGGTAGTAATGTAATGTCAGCAATGTTGTAGTAGCAGTTGCAGCTGTTATACTGACAGGGGGCTGTAAAACCTACATGTAGGCTCAATTAATAAATGAGGGAGGGTGAGAGGGTAATATTATTGTTGGTAACCAGGAGGGAGGGAGGAGTGGCAGTGGCATTGTAGTTTAAGGGAGGGTGGGTGATACTGTTACTCTGGCAGTGGTAAATGAGGGAGGGGGGGAGAAGGGTAGTGGGAGTGAAAGTTGTAGTTTGGGGGGGAGGAGGGGGAGCTGTAGGGCATCCATGGGAGAGGGGAGAAGTAGTGAAAGCAGGGAGATGGGAGGGGGCAGATAGGACTTCAGAGCAAGTAAATAAACTTAATATTTTACCCAGGTTTCTGTTTATGGTGTAATACATGCAATTTTTATTTTCTTTCGTGTGGTATCTTGGCATCGTAGGATGATGTTCTTTTTTTTTGTACCATTTTTTTTTCTTTTGTAAGGATATAATTTAATGAAATATAATAGGTTCTGTAATTTGCAATGAGTCATGCCTGTGAGTAAACTTATCTTTAGGGAAATTACAAGTGCTATTATATCCCTACCAAAATTTGACTTATGCCTCCTAACTTCTGGTTAACATTTGTCATTTTTTTTCAGTTTCTATGATTGGTGCTTGTAGAACTGTCCTCCAAGTTTTAAACTCGAGAGAGTAACTACTTCTCAGGTATCTGTCAATGACCCCTTTACACTAATTTTAGAAGTTTTTTTTTTTTTACTACTAAGATATTTAGTTTTCTCCCTAACTGAGCTTACATTAGCCTACCGGGAGTGGAATTTGTCATTTAGTCATTTTGTTGCAAACTCATGAAGGATGAAGATGAAAGACCAAATATATTGATATCACATATAAATTTGCATGATGATGAAAGTGTGCACTGTAATAGGCCTTATAATTCAAAACTACCATAATTCATAGTCATAATGAATAATCTTGGGACTTACAATCTTCCTTATACAAAATGCATGCTTACGTAAAGTTTTTGAGCGAAAACAAGGGGTATTGTTTGTTTGTTTCTTTATTTACTTTTGGAAAAAGGCCTATTATGCAAAAGCCGTTCAATTTAAAATGTTTATGATATGAGACCTTCGGAATATCTTAATAACCTTGGTGAGGTACACAACTAGTCAGTTCTTTCAAATTACCTTAAAAAATGGGAAAAAGATAACTGCAATTTTCTACACAGATTTAAAAGGTGGTGGATATTTCCTTTTCTGGCTTCTATGGCAACTGCGACACCGTCACCCCTGGCCAGCTCTGTTGAGAAGACAAATGGATACAAGCTAAGCAGGCTTCTCATCGATGGGGGAACAACAGTGCTGAGGAATATTTTCGATTCCCATCACCCTCCTGCCAACTTGGCTGCCAATCTTAGTTCCAGACATATTCATCCCATTCTTACTAGACTTCGACATAGAAACATTCTGAATGGTGTTCAATGGGACAAACTGTTTCCACCACCAGGTGGAGGGCCACCAAACTCTATTAACTTTGATATCACTCTTCTGTTCCTCTTGCTGAGGAACATTTGCAGCCTACATCCTCCCCTTTCAGGCTGGGACAGAATGCCTCCCGCGAGTGACACCTCATTTGAGGCTAACCTTGCTCGCATTAAGTATTATCGAAATGTGCTCTATGGTCACGTGACAACAACTGGCATTCAAACACCAGTGTTCGATGTGAAATGGCAGGAAGTTAGTTCTGTTCTTGTTTCGCTTGGGTTAAGTCAGTCTGAAGTGGACAGATTAAAGCGAGAGCCTTGTGGAGAGGACTATATCAGCGCTGTTACTGAATGGATGAAAAATGACGAGGAGATCCAATTCCAGCTGAAAGATCTACGTACAAAACAACAGCAAGTGCTCCAAACCCAACAGGAACATCACAGAACTCTTCAAGAAGGCCACAGAACTCTTCAAGATACACAACAAACGGTTGGCAGAGTGGAACAGACGCTTCAAGATACACACCAGGCAGTTGGCAATTTGCAACAAATGTTACAGGAAGTTCGGACAACCCAACAAGAATCGCAGCAGCAGATAAAGCGTGAGGCTGCAAACACTCAAGAAAGAGGAGATAAAGCTGAAGAGGATGAAGCTCTGAGAAAATTAGCACAAGTTAACACCGAGAGAGTCATCCAGTATCACTCTGGGAAATACCAGGAGGGAACGCGCTTGCACATCTTTGAGAAGATTAAGTTGTGGCTAGACGACCTTTCATCTGAAAATCGTGTTATGGTAATCAGTGGAGATGCGGGAATGGGCAAATCAGTGATTTCCGCTGTCGTTTGTCAAAGAATGCAACACGCTGGTCGGCTCTCAGGAAGTCACTTTTGTCAGCACAACAAGGAACGTTACAGGAACCCCAAGGTGATGCTTCAGTCGTTAGCTTGTCAGCTGTGTGATGTTTTACCAGAATACAAAAGTGAACTTGTGAAGAAACTTTCTAGAAACTTGGGTGTGGACATGAACAGTCTAGAAGTTCAGGAGTTGTTCGAATTTCTTTTCGAGGAGCCTTTATGCAGCGTAGGAGACCCTGGAAGAAATTTGCTGTTAGTTATTGATGGCCTGGATGAAAGTGAATACAAAGGACGCAATGATCTGCTTGATGTCGTAGCTAATTACTTTTGTAAACTTCCTGTTTGGTTCCGGTTTCTTGTTACCACTCGACCTGAAGTAAATATTGCAGATCGTCTTGAAAAGTTTAATCCTATTCAGCTAGAGCAAGATAACGAAGAAAACGTGAAAGACATCAGACTCTTCCTTGAAAAACAGTTGAGCAGCGTTATTCAATCGGGCTCTGAAGATGTTGTTATCGATGCACTGGTCCGAAAGGCTGTAGGGCATTTTTTATATGCTTATTTGATGGCCAATTTTATCAAGAAAAACGTTTCACTTCTTACCCTCGAGGAGTTAGGAAGAACCTTGCCTTCAGGTGTATCGTCTGTTTATCAATCCTACTTTGAACGTCTAGAGAAAGAGTTGACAATCAGTGAGGACCAGTTTTTAACTTTTCTAAGTGCACTGGCGGCTGCCAGAGAACCACTTCCTCTAGACTTTGTTTCCAAGATGTTGCTTTCCGACGCAAAGTCATCCGCTGGCCACCGGAAAGTAAGAATGACTATAGAATGTATCTCAACCCTTCTACCTGTTCAAGATGGTGGCATTCACTTCTTTCACAAATCAGTTAAGGACTGGTTGACTGACAGAACTGCTTACGGACGACACGACTTCTCTGTGGACCAAAACCAGGGCCACTCTATTCTTTCTCAGCTTTGTACTGATGAACTTAATGACCTTAAAATTAAAGATCTTCACCGCACAGAATTCAGTGACACTGCGAAGTACGCCCTTCAGCATGGTGTCCGTCACATGCTTGAGTCGGAAGAGAGCGCAAGAGCATCCAGCAAGTTTGAAGAAATCGTCAAGAATTATGTTACCGACTTAGACATTGTGTATGCAAAGCTTTGTGTAAACAACACGGCTAGTTCTGAAGACATTATCCTTACTCAGAAACAAGATGCTTTTCAGTTATTGAGCAGTGAGAGGCAAAAAGCCCTTGGCACGTTGTTGTCTCTCTTAAGAAAGTACCATGAAAGACTAACGACGCATCCTAGTGCAATTTTGCAAGTGATGGCTAACGAGGGAGGAGACGTTTGTGCCGGTGAAGCGACAAAGCTTTTACAGAAATATGAAATACCGTACATGGAGTACATTCAAGATATGGCTGAGGAGAAGCAATGGGAGGTCCAAGCTTCGTTTTGCTGTACCTCTCCAGTGATTTGTTTTGATATTTCACCCCAAAAGGAGTTCATGGTGTGTGAATGTAAGGATGGAAGGATTCACTTGTGGTCACTCCAAACAGGAAATCTGGTGTGGATACGTCCTGTCAAGGTTGAAAAATGTTACGATGATGATCCCTCAGCGTTTAGAACGTTGCCGAACTCACTTGCGTTGTCATGTTATCGCTCTGTCGTTTTTCATCCTTCTGAGGCCATTGTTCTTCCTGGAATCCTTAGTCATGCTTACACGTTTGAAGGAGACCGCCTACCTCTGTTTCCTGGGAGCAACTGCAGGTTCTTGATTTGTTCAATTAACGACGATGAGAACAAAATGATCACCGATTTCCCTGACGATCCTAAATGCCTTGTCATGTGGAATCTTGAAAATGGCGAAAAGATCATTCAAATTAGCAGAAATGAAGTTATTTTATCTTTTGCTTGGTCTCCAGATGGAAAACTGCTTGCGATTTCCCATCTTTCGGGATTGATTTGTTTGGTTGATGCAAAGAATTGCTTTAAAGTTCTTGCAGAAGTAGCCAATTCTCATGCGTGTGGAATTATTAAGTTTGCTCCCAGCCTTCAATTCCTTTATTGTTTGTCTGTGAAAGAAAAGAAAAGGCTTCTTTATCCTAACCTGAAAGATTTTCGCTTAATGGTAAGCAAGTCGCCTTGTGGCATCTTTTCCCTGGCTGTTTCTGACGGCAACTTTGACTATGTACCGCTGATTGATGAATCATTTAGTAAAGGTGGTTTCTTGATGGGAGATCCTATCGCAAGTTGGCTTTGTGATCGCGATTGCCAGCTATCGTTTGTCTTAGACAATCAAAGAATTGTAAAAGCCTCATTTTTTGGAGACGAAGCTATTGTAATAAGCGTTCCTACAGCATTTAGAAATACGGCATCCTATAGAAGATTCGCTCATGTTGCGTTTGCTTTAGATGGGAAGACCATTTATGGTGTCAGTGAGGGGAATGAAGCAGCATTGGTATCTTTGGATGTGTTCAGTGGAGAACTCAAAGCAGAGACAAAGGTTCGTTCTTTAGCCGCAAACCTGTATACGTATGACATTTGCCTTGTACCTGTGATCAATGGTGTCCTTTTGAAAGCATCTGGGGTGGATGTTCAGCTATGGAATTTTGAGTTGTCACAAGTCCGAAGTTGGTCCAGTTTATGTGAGGTTACCAGTATAATGCCAGTAACAGACCAATGTGTAGCATGTGTCACACATGTGGACGGAAAGTTTGAAGTAAGCATCCTGGACACATCAAGTGGAGACATAGTGAAGACCATTTCACTTCGTCTTCCGGGATACACGGTAACATTTCCATTGCATGGAGTAGCCATAGTGTGTAACAGTAAATACCAGCTGTTATTTACCGATGGTGATTCAGTTCAGCTTTCAAGCGGCAACAGTTTACTGTGGAAGAGAGATTTTTCTGAAGTTTCAAACTCAGAGATGTTGCTTTCTCCAACGGAAGAGTTTGTCCTTATCTCGCTGTACAAGAGACAAAATGAAGTCACACTTGTGCTAGATGCGTCTTCAGGAAACACCCTCCACACACTATGCACAGTCGATTTCATTGTGGACTGGGCCTTTGTAAGTAACACGGAATGTGTAATCAACTGCGTCGGTCCTGAACAAAGATCTGGAGGCACCATTCTTCAGTTGTTTAATGTTACGACTGGGGATTTGCTAAGTTTTCTTGATATGTTTATCCGCCCTTCCTGTTTAGCTTCCTTTCCACAGAATGGTTTGATTGCCATTGGCCTTAAGTACTCCCAACGTATGTGTGCCTTTATCAAAGTAAAACTGCCGCGTGACAAAGTCAACAAGGAAGGTATGCAATGCTTTTGTTCCTCAAAATTATTTAGAGTATATGAAAAACGTATGGCAGACACGTCCCTTTTAAAAGGAGCATATGTGAGATTTAGTTCGCGATCGAACCTCTTTTAAATGGCGTCCTATTTGTCATTTGCTATATTTAGTAAATACATCCAAACCTGTGTTGAGTGAACCTGTATTCAGCGGTTACACTCTTTTAAGCGGTCACTTACCCTAGTCCCGGAAATAATTTCCTTTTTGAAGTTACCGTAAAACTGACCTGTGTTAAGGGATCAGTCTAAATAAAGCGGTCGCAGTCACGTATCTTTCGAGTTATTTTTCACTACCTTCACGCGCTATTAAACGGGTCTTTTATCAAGATTTACCACTTAACGTGCAATAGATGCACTGTGTATGGCGTGTAGTGCGGTGTCTTTTACCTTGTTTCTCTTTGCACAAAGAGAGATAGAAACACTCTGAGGTTAATCCGTCGTGTGATGGACATTTCTCTGTCACCATCTTCGTTTACTTGATTGACTCGTTTGGTTTTTCAAACTTAAATCGGTGTCGGAGTGAAATACAAAGATTTGGTTACCGCACGTCAAACCTGTATTAAACGGTCAATCTGTATTAAGCGGGCAGTTAGCCATACTCCAAGGGGGGTTTAACTGTACACGGTACATCGGATAGACCCTATTGGCATTTGAGGGGATTAAAGTATACTTAACTGAACTGACCTGAATAGAGCTGTTGACAGTCTCTCACAGTTGATGTAGATGTCCCTGATATTTATGGTTGTAAAAGTGTTTTAGTTTTATACCTCTAAGCAATTTTTGTCAACGTTTTTTCTTTACTTATTGATCTGACAGGTTTTAAGCTTCGATAATAATGATGTCAGGGTACAAAGTGACGCCAAGCGGTTTGAACTGTGATGTGAAAACATGAATGGATGGCCGAAAAGCATGCCGTCAGGAGCATAACACGTTTATTAAAATGGTTTTTATTACTAGCATTTAAAGGGCGTACATCTGTTATATCCAGTATATCTATAAGCAAGTAAACAGAAAACTTCTAGAATTGATACTGATTCGGCAGGTTTTTTTGCAGGACACAGGTTACAGGTCACAGGTCATAAATAAAGTTGGGAGACGATGTATCTAAGGTTAGAAATGTGGTGTTTGAAAATTACAGTGTATACCTGCCAACTCTTAAATTTATAGGCGTGACATTTTTATCTTCAGAGTGCCAGGATTTTTTCGTAGGGGTCTGATAATATGCGAAGATGTCCGAAGACGTCCCGAAGACTTCCGAAGACGTTCCGAAGACTTCCGTCTAACACGAACACGGGAACACAAAGGAACCCGACCTCGTCTCCAGTGACTTTCCCTACTAAAATAAGAGAATTCAGAGAAAGTCGATCATTCACATGGACTTTTCTTTTCTATCTTTGGTTCCGGTTGCTTTAAATAATTAATATGTTTTTCAAAATGTGTTAGTTAATGGCGTAATGGCTCAAACTTTTCCACTAGGCGTGACACCAGGCGCCATTATTTGGAAACAGCAACCGCTGAATAAAGGGCTCAAGGGCTCACAAGTTACCTTAGCGTTTATACCTACAGTCAAACCTCCATGTGCGACCACCTATCGTAAGCGACCACCTCCCATGCCATAAGCGACCACCTATCCAAAACACCAAAGTTTTCCCAGTCTCCCAGGCAAAGCGTTACAGTTGGAACCTCTAGTAAACGACCACCTCCTGTAAGGGACCGCGACTACTTTTTGGGCCTGACAGTTAGCGATGTTCCATTGTTTTTAACCTCTTGTAAGCGACCACTTGACGTATTTTCTGATCTCTGCATTCTCTGTTTTCACTATGCTACTTAGAATATGCGAAGAACTTTTGCGACAACATGGAACTACACATGGCGTATCTAATTAGAAATTGGATGCAATAAATTATCTTCCATAAAGTAGATGTGCCCGGACCTCTTCTGGGAAGAGGCCCCCTGTGGTTCGATTCTTGTAAGCGACTACCCCCTGTAAACGACCACTAAGTCTTTGCATTTTGGGTGGTCACTTACGAGAGATTCGACTATATTTCTGGCTTGCAAGCGATATATTCAGGGGTCATGTGCTTAAATATAATGACCCTCAAAGTGACTCTGGATCTTTAAGTAATGTTTAAAAAACGAACATGAGTGTATTATCAGCTTTAAAAACTCGAGGCAAAGCCAAGATTTTTTAAACCTGATAATACGCGACTGTGAGTTTTCTTATCTACTTCAAAATCTCTCATATGGATCAACTCATTCTTGCCCTAATATTAAGATTTGGGGTTATTTTAGTCTACGTTTTACGAAAAGTTTAGCTGTCTTTATCAGTTATAAAGACACTCATTAAACATTTTAGAATTTCTTTTTCTCTTTTATTTCTCATTAATACCTTTTTCATAGGTACGTCAAACTAGACCCCTCATAATTGACCTGTGACCTATAAACTGTGACCTGTAACCTGTGACCTGCAAAAAAACCTGCCGATGCTGATTATCGTAAGCAAGAGCACAAGGTTCTCATTTGAAGAGTTTTCTGTGAGAATTATTGGGTGAATAGTAAAACAAGCAACCTAGGGACGGTATGTGCAGTATCATAATCACAATAAATTACAAATTTTCTATTTGTTATTAAATGAATTTGTCTTGGCAAGTAAAACGGAAAATTTTAAAGAAAAATGAGGGAGTTACTCGAATTCTAATTGAAAGATGTAGGATTAGTTATTTTGTGAAGAGTTTATTCTCAAGTTTACATTCGAAGAATTTTTGGATTATCATCGTTAAATAACTAAGTAAAAGCTTTCGTTTACGTCAGTAAAGAAGTATCCTTCAAGACTGAATATATGTAGATTTTGGCCAGGAAAAACAGAGAAGGTGACACGTGTTTAGTATGGAAAGCACAGTTAGGAGTTCTCTGTTAGCTGGTGTCTAGGACTTAGTATTAGCAACTCAAGTTAAACAGACCACCAGCAGAACCTTTTTAGGTAGTATTAGCAATAACTTCAGTTTTCCACTTAAAAGAGTTTCAATCAGAAAAAACAACTGATGTTAAGAAACTGATGTTCGATCCTGATCATAAGCAATCGAGAGATCCGATTAATGCGATTTATTTTTGAGAATTTCTCTTTTATTTTTGAGAATTTATCTGTTACTTTCAGGGAATTAGTGTATAGTACAAGTAAGACAGTGTTCAGTGTTATTACCAACAGCTTCAGTTTTATATTTAAAGAGTTTTTTTCTTTTTTAAAATTGGCGTCAATAAATGGCTCAGAATTGACAAGTGACGCTTCCGTCTCTAAAGTGGTAGGAAAATCAGATCACCCGTTGGTCTTTTAGTAAGAAAATTTAAACTATATTTTTGGTCTGAAAATGTTACGGACCTCAACAGGTGACATGCACATGTGCGCCAAAATTGCAAGGTTTAAAACTTGTAAGGAGAGAATGCAATGGTCGCGGCTAGATGGAATCCTTCCAAAGGAGGTCGGTCACCTTATGATGCCTACACCATGAAGCAAATGCTTGCATTGAAGTTTAGTGATTGGGATTAGAAAACAAAGTGAATAGTGGTGTTCTAGTTTTATTGTGTATGCGTCATAAGGTGTCCGAAGTCCTTCCGACGATTTTAATCCCAAGAGAAGCGAGGGCAAGAACACCCAAACCTTTCGGGGCTCACTCGCGTGTGACCTACTACCCTCGAGACTTGGATCGAGAGTTTGCTAGCTGGCTGCCAACCCTTCGCGCGCTTTACTCTATAGAAGACGGGCGATAGGAACGGACGTGCAAAGGTACCAGGGAGGTGAATGCAACCTCTTAGACTATGGACGAAGATAAGGAATTCCCCATAGTCTAAGTCAGTTTTGGAGAATTGCTGCTCCAACGTCTTAGTGTGTGGACAAAATTCTAGCGTATAACCATTTAAAACAAACTTCTCTTAGTCGACTTAAGCGCGGGGGCGTCATTGGTTCTTAAACCATCGTACACTGCTTTCATACATTTCCTATGGTGCATTTTACTTGTTAGTCACTCTCTTTTTTCTAATATAATGTTTGATTGTTTTTACCCGTGAAGTGACAAGGGATTCTTTTTGTCGATAGAACATCCTCATTTTGCCGCCTTCAGTTATGAGCACCAACTTAAGAACTACAAATTTCACTCTGGAGGGAAAGAGGGGAATCTCCCTTCTTATTAATAGAGAGATACGAGGTAATCCATTTCAGGTGACAAGTCGAAACATGCGATTTTATCTGAACAGTAAAATCGTCCTTGAAAGGCTTTTTCATTTTGTAATGGAACTGAGAATGTACAAACTTAACTGATACCTGGATACATGCAGTTCAACCTCGACACAACCTCTACATAACGAAGGACCCTGTATAACTAGTCATATTCTTCGCCCCAGTCACAATAGAAAAAGGAACAATGGAACAACAAGACCCCCCTATTAAAGATTCCAAATATAGAGTTTCACGGAACACTTTTATTACTAGGGAAATTAAATGACCTTCATGCCACGAAGCAATTCTGATTTCATCTGTGTATGTGGCAAACGTTCCGAGGCAAATTTTTCATGGCAAATGTCTGTGGACACCGTGACCCCACTATGGATAAAAAACTAATAATTACTATTATCGTGGTACTATGTTCAAGATGGAAATAAATTTACCATGTTTTGTAATTGCACCTAATAAAAAGAAGGTATATAAAAGTTATATTGGGTGCCAGGAGAGAATCCTCTCTTGTATGGTCTGCATGGTTCCATAAAGTCAAACACCGCTTTAAGGACACCCGCTTAATACGCACACCTCGTTATTGCGGACAGTTTGCTTCGTCCCCCGGGCAAAGAAAGTCCTTACATTTTCTCTAAATTCAACCCGCTTAATACAGACACTTTCTATGGTCCCATCACTGTCCGTATTAACGGGGTTTTGCTGTACTGTATACTTCACATTGTACCGGGCCGCGGATTATGCAGGGGTTATATGGGGATTCCACGGTACAACATGACCCCATACATTATCCCAGTTTTGTGGATTTTTGCTATTTCTTGATTGTACCATCAGGTCGACCTTAAAACATGTTGAGTCGTAACATATCCACAGTATCAGATGAACTGATAGCCTTCTTTTATCCAGTGAATTCTTGCGAATCAATTTATATCAGAAGTTCACAACAATCACCACAAAGCGAAGAATCTTCCGAATCGAAAGAAAACGAGGAATATTTGAACTTTCTAAAATTGTTCAATATGCATGCTTATCGCATTGACTTTATAGACTTGACCAGCAATGGAGGAAAGCTTGTTTCCTCGCTAAGGATCGAAGCTGGCGCCAATGAATACGTAGACTATGCCTCATGCAGTGGTAGTCTCGGCGAAGTGTTGAGTTGCGCTAGTGTTGAAGATAAATCCACGGCCGGGGGACCGAAAGACCACGAGAAGGTCACCGTTAGCCTAAGAAAGAATGGACTAATTAAATGGGAACGAAATACGGAATACTGGAACGTATTGTCTCTGTTATCAAAGCACATGATTTTCTCACCCAGGAATGAGTTTGTAGTCACGTGGAACGCTCTCGATGAGGGCCAAGGTCTACATGTTCTTAACGCAGATACTGGAGAAACACTGCACGTCCTTCTTAGAGACCAGAAAGACATTATTGAATGTAAGTTTTTAGATGATGAATCTGTGGTTTGCTGCAGTGGGGAAAACTTCCTTCGATTGTGTAATGTCAGAACAGGAGATCTGCTAAGTGTTGGAGACCAACCGTTCTGTTTGGGAGCTTGTTTGTACCAGCCTCTTGTCGCCATTGGTTTGTCCGGCACAAGAATAAAATTCGTCCACATACAGTTGCCAACAGAATCTAAAAAGAAGAATTAAAGGTGAGCTTTTCTCTACTAGGTTACAGTAACTCGCCTGTTTTCGACCGAACAGATCGTAACAGTACCTAGACTCTACGAGTAGTGTCTATTATTTCAGTCCGTGGAGCGAAAGGCGGGAAACACGCAAATAACGGCGCGCGCGGCTGTGGGTGCGGGTTTCCTCGCGCACGAGTACTTTCTTCACTAAAAAGTTGAAAGGGACTTTAAGATCCAACGACGCGGCAGCAGCGAAAACGTCGCTTAAAAAGTGAATTTGCGTTCTTTCATTCTTTATCGCGATTATTCCTACTTACTTAGTAGGTCAAATGTACGCGAACCCTCCCGAGTTTGAATTCCAACGGACCATACTCAATTTCAGAAAGCGAAATAGAAATTCTTCTTTGCTTGTTTACGTTCTCAATAAAACACGAAATTAGGCATTTTCAGCTCTTACTTCGGCAAAAACGGCAAAGAGAGGAGGGAGTGTCCGTGGCACCAATCAGACCAACTGCTTTGAAACTGGAAAAAATTAAGGCTGAACATTCGCAAGCAGCCTTCATTTGGTAGGAACTTGTTTTGCACCCTCAATCATGATCAGTACATCTTTTTAACCACTGGCTTATAATATGTAAATTGACGAAATCTGGACAAAACGTAACTAAACCGCTAGAAGGACATTGTAAACCTTTTCACTTTGGTATGGCTTTTTTTTAATGTTCCAGATGTCTGAAAGTGGCTTACATCTCCCAGTAACACTGTAGTACAAAAAAACGCACCGTGTAATTTACTTTGTATGCGGTAGTGACATTAAGGTCATGTTAAGACGTTCCTTGACCTGAAAAACTTGAGTGCGGTGCTCAAGAAATCAGCTAAGGGGAAATTCGCCCACACTTGCCATGTTCAGAAAATTGGAATAAACCGGACACAGATTGAAAAAAAAAGGGAATTCATTTTAAAACTGACGTTTTCGCTGCCGTTGCCGTCGTCGATGCTAAAGCTCCCTTTTATCAAAACTCCTAGATCCAGCCACTTTGCCTACCCTGCTTGCCCTCAATTCTTGATGTCCTTTGAGTTCTATCTCCACTGCTTCATCTACAACATCCTGAGTTTTGCTTAGGGCTTGACGTAACTCTTCCAGGTTTAAAGTACCATCTTCAACTGTTTTACTGAGTTTTAGTTGCGTCTGGTGGATATCCTTCAACTGGGTTTTTATGTCTTCTTCACTGTCAGCCCACTCAATTAAGGCATCAAGGTAATCTTCCTCTCCTCCATGCTCTGCCTTCAGTCTGTCAATCTCAGCTTGAGTTAAACCGAGAGAATGAAGAGTAATACTTATTTCATGCCAGAAGGAGGAGAAAGATGTCGCATCAACCCCCGTGGATGTCACGTGACCATACAACTCATTCCGAAAGAACTTAACGCGAGCAAGGTTAGCCTCAAGAGAGTTGTCACCAGGGGATGGCTTGGTGTGCCATCCTGTCAGGGGAGGGGATAAACCACAAATGTTGGTTAGTAGAAGGAACAGAAGAGTGATGTCAAACGTGTTGGAGTCTGGTAGCCTTCCACCAGAGGGGAAGAGT